TTATTTTGAATCAATAAATTGAAATATCAAAGAAATTTCAAATTAAAAAAGGTTTGTTTGTGAATAATCCAAGAAATATAATAGATCTTGAAAATTTTATATAAGAACATAAAAATGAAGAATGTATTAATCAGATGTATATTTTTAGGTAACTTTTGTTAATAAAAAAGTTCATGGTAATGGCAACAGTGATGGAAGATGTTGATTGAAGAAGACGATGAAAAAAGAAAATAGAATGAGGTGGGTACTAAAAAAAAAGAATGGTGGATGAGTTGGTGAGTACTCAACTGAAGAAGAAGAAAAGAGAAGGGGTGGGGTGGGGGACTGAAGATGAAGAAAGAAGGGGTGGGTGAGGCTGAAGAAGAAGAAGAAATTATTTTTGATTTAAAAAAAAAAAAACAATATTACTATTATTTTCTTATGTAATTTAATATTTTAAAAATAAAAATATTCTAATCACTTGTTGCAAAACCCTAGGGTATGCAAAACGTGTGTAATCACGCAATTATCCAACTCATCCATTTTTATGCCATACAAGTTTGGTCAATAATCAGAGTTCAAAAAATAGAGTTTCATCGAGTTTAAGTACACATTTGACAAAATAATGAGTAAAAGGGTCCAATTGACAAACGCATCCAAGCAGTGGCGAAACCAAAAATTTTTAATAAGGGGTTTAAAATCTGAAAAACAAATTTTTTAATAAGGGAGTTTAAAATATGAAAAAATAGACACACAAAGTAGTCGAAGGGGGTTCGACATCTACTATATATACCTAAAAAATTATTTTAACCATATATAAATAATATAATTTTTCGCCAAAGGGGGTTCGGATGAACCCCTAACTTTAATGTGGCTCCACTACTGCATCCAAGTACAGGGGTCTTCTAGGTCATTCCACCTTTTACTTAAGGCAAAAGTTTTTTGAAAAAAACTGTTCTATCTTAATAAGATAAGAATAAAATATATGTATACACCACACCACACCGATTTTGATTACCTCGTGGAAAGATCAATGACTTGGGAACAACAGCAAGTCTAGCTAGTCTGATTATTTTACATTAAATTCAACCATATAACGAATTAACGGTCACTTAATTAATAATGGTCAGCACATGTATATATACACCTTTAAACAAAGTGGATGTTTGCTTCAAAGGATAAGTAGATAATTGCTACTTTGATATAATAATTACAATTAAGATTTAAGTGGGACTCTAATATCTTAGAAGATTAAGAACTATTGAGTGGTTTTTATGGAGTACTTAACATGGTAGGTACTTTAATTGTCTAGATTCAATGATGGTTTGGTTTTTTTCCTATTGTTGTGTTTCAACAATTAAATTGATTAATGAAAATGATCTTATTGAGCTTGACCTATATATCGGAAGTATATATACTTGCGTCACAAATATTCGTAAATAATTGATATATGTCAATCTATAATAAAGAAATATTAGATCATCACTACGGAAGAAATGAAATTTCTTGACCACTTATAAATTGAATAGGAAAAAAAAATAAACGTGTAAAAATAAAAATTTCTTATAAAAAAAAATTATATAGCTTAAAAAATACATTATAAATGGCCTACAAAATCAATTCCTCCACATCCGTGTGACAACAAAATGACAATCTTATTTCATCATCAATATAAAATTCAAGGCTCTATTTTGAAGAGGGAGAAAAAAAAAACTAATATCATTATTATTTATTTATTTATTGTCTAGAATATATTCTTACTCCAAACCATTTTTTTATTTTTTATTTTTTTTTACTTCAGATAAATATTAGGATATATATATATATATATTATAAGTTTTCTCAAATCTCATTTTGCTTCTTTGATAGATATTATAAGAAATTTCTTTGGAGTCCAGTGATGTCAAAGAAAATTCTCATGACAAAAATACATGACTCATACAAGTACATATACAGTTTGATAAGATAATGTGAAAGAGACTATTTTGATATTGATAGTTAATATATGGCTGCTAATTATTTGTTATCAATTGTCATAGTGAAAACTAGAGACTTTATAAAAAAGAGTTCATTGTAGATTATACCATATAATCACAATGTTAGATATGAACCATTCATTATAATGATTTCGAGATGAATGAAATTTCTTCAATTTTAATTAGAGATTTCAAATTCAAGTCTGGTAAATAAAGTGCTTAGAATAGAAAGTATTTTTTATTTGATGGGCTTTATATAGTGTGTTTCTAGATTAGCAGGACTAGTAAATTTCGAGTACCAATTGATCAGTACAGTAAAAATATTTAGGTAAATAAAAGATAAAACTTTATTTCTAGGAGATAAAAAAATCAAGAAAGGAAATAAATATTATTTTTTAAAATAAAAATAAAAATCATGGTTGTTTCTTAGTGGTAATGGCATCAAGTATAGAATTGACTTGACTTGAGTACATGCTTTTCGGTGCAAGCTCCTATTTTTCATTCTTGTTAATATAGTCGATTGATAGCAATAATAGTATAAATTTCTAATTGTAATTATAATTATAATTATAATAACAAGATGTAATCCATTAACAATTAAACTAATATAAATCATGTTAGTTATAATTTACCCAAAGAAACCCCATGGGGTCTTCATAATTGGACTCCATTTCCCATCATCACTTCACTTATCTTCCTTTCTTAATCATCCTTACTCAATAGTCAATACCATGATTTGTTCTCTTAATATGAATTATTATTACACTTTTATTTGTGTCCGTTACTAAAGAATGTTCACCTATAAGTTAGCTTTATGGACATTTAGAGTATAGACAATATAAAATTAGGGGCTCGACATCGAAAATAATAAATTGAGATGGATATGGTTTCTGATATCATATACATAAATAAATTTCAGTTAGCTTAAGAGAGAAAAACTGCTTAAAAGTCTAAAGAATCCATCCATATTCGATATAGGACTTCACTTATACACCCTACCATTGTTAATTACTGAATGATGTGAACGGTCTATTTAAGGGTCCAATATGGGGGTCTGACTTTGATACCATGTTAAATGAACCTTGAGTCCAACCTAATCCAAAAAACAGATCATGAGAGGAGAATTGCCAAGATAATATATATAAAGAGTATATGAGACTCCGACATATGGTATCATAAAATATCAAAATGTTATAAATCTAATTACCATGATGCAAGTAGTGGAGTAGTTTATGTCATTATAAACTCATCATACATTACTTATTCTCAAATTATCATTACTTATAGAATTGTTTTCATTAGAGAGCCATAATTTTAGCAATTAGTCCGACAAGGCCTGTGGACAATTAAATTATGGGCTCATCGAGGAATGGGCCAGTTATCCACACTTGAAAAGTCTATGAATCAAATTAGTTTGTCAAAAAAAAAAAACATATAGGTAAGTAACTTGAAAATACTGATACGTCTTGTAATATATAATCTATATTTTGTTATTTGGCTAGTTTACTCTATATAAAATTGGTATTTTTTTTAATTTTACAATAAGTATTATTTTAGTAAAAATGATGTTTATTAAGAAATCAATAACTATTTATTAAATTATTTCTATTTAATAAATTTTGTTTTTAAAATGAAACACTATTTAAAAGATGCATGGAGTAGAGGATATATAGTAAAAAATGAGTGAGCTTTTTAATGTGCGTCATGAGTGAGTTAAATTGTGAAAAATAAGTGGTGCTATGTGTCATTCCGTTTGGCTTAAGATATATGACCCACGGCAAGGACATACACCATGTTAAAATATAATGGATGATATATGCATATTACGACGAGCAAATTTTAGGAATAACAAACATAAAAATCATATTAGCGCTCTATAGTTATAGTTTTGTTATTTGCGCTGATTTGAATAAATCACAAATATTTGATTTGTATAAATCGCAGCGATTGTATATGTATATCGGTTAGATAATTGTATATATATAACTACTATGTATATGTATCAATGATTGTATTTGTATATTTGCATTAAAATTTGAATTTGTATACAATTTAATGGGGTTAAAATATTTGTATTTGTATATCAAATCTCTCTCTCCCGCTTTATACCCCACAAATTATATATTGAATTTTGTATAATTTGTGCTTGTATAAAGAGAGAAAGGCATAAGAGAACTAGATAGAAGAATATTTGTACTTGTATAATTATAAGTGTATAAGACGAAGAAATATGTATTTGTATTTGTATATACAGTTCTCTCTCGCTTTATACAAACACAAACACGATTTATACATTTGTTTTTGTATAAAGTGAGAAAGGCGAGTCAGAGAGTGACGAGCAAGATTCAGGGAAGAGAGACGAATGACAAAAAGTTTGTTGTGAATTGGAAGTAAATGAAACTGTAGCTATAACATTTATTTTGATTAATAGTTTGCTGCATAATTTTCCCTACTATTTATATTAGTTCGAAGATATATTATTATTTTTTGGGAAAATTGTATGAAATAACAAACTATTAATTTAAATTAAATGCTATAGTCATAATTTCTTTTATTTGTAATTTGCAACAAACATTTTGTGTTGTTTGCCATCCCATTTGTATACTGAAATATACAAGTAAATCGAAATATACAAATGCAGGATCCATTTGTATACCGAAATATACAAATGCAGAATCCATTTGTATACCGAAATATACAAATGCAGGACTCATTTGTATACCAAAATATACAAATAGATTGAATATACAAATGTAGGACCCATTTGTATATCGAAATATACAAATGCTGGACCCATTTGTATACCGAAATATACAAATGCAGGACCCATTTGTATACCGAAATATTCAAATAGATCCAAATACATATTTTTTTTATGTACATGTATAAGTTTGCTATGAAGCGCAATTATACAAATTATAGTTATAGCATACAAATATGATTTTTATATTTGCTAAACCTAAAAGTTACTACTATTATTTTTTTGGTAAATAAAATTCCCACAAGTTTTTTGTTTTCGAAAAAAAAAAGGAGATATTTTTTTTTGAGTGAACCTCTTATCTCTTATTCACAACTGATAGCCATGTTCCACCATGAAAATATACAGTGCAAAACACATCAACAAAAATGGTGACATTAGCTTCTTCATCTCTCTGCAATTCCTCTTCTTCACTTATCCATTCCTCAAAAACTTCTCTACCCAATTTCGTTACATTCTCTTCCTCAAGTTATTACAAGAAAAGGGGAAAATCGCTTGCAAGTCGTAGCCTTGGAATTGTAGCTGCTACCGAAGGCTCTGTTAACAAATCCAGTGGAAAAGATGAAGAAAAACAAGAAGACCCATCAGTTCCTACATGGGCTAAACCCGGTACGGATGAGCCTCCACCATGGGCTAGAAATGAAGCACAGAAAGATTCTTCAAGCTTTCAAGTTCCATTCATTGTTTATTTGCTTGCGTCTGCTGTCACAGCAATTGCAGCGGTGAGTTTTTTATCTGGAATTTCATTTTTGGTGGAGAAGTTTTTTGGGGGTTTTATAAAAATTGATTCTTGATTGGGTTTATGAGTGCAGATTGGTTCTATTTTCGAGTACACGAATCAGAAACCTGTGTTTGGAGTTTTGGGTTCAGATAGTGTTTTTTATGCTCCCTTGCTTGGGTTCTTTGTTTTCACTGGCATTCCCACTTCTGTAAGTTGATTTATTTTGTTGGCTATTCATGTGTTTCTGTAGTTTTGGTTAAGTTGAATTGTTTTGAATGATGAAACTATTCGCGTTTGGCCATAGATTTTGGGAGTAGTTTTTGAAAATTTATATTTAAATATCTGTTTGGCCGTGAAATTTGATTAGACGTTGAAAATGTGATCCTCAAATATTTTCAAGTTCCCAAAAAAACTGGCTCTTTTGAGTTTTTGGGACTTCCACTTGCAAAACTTCAAATGCATGTCCGAATACAACTTCAAGTTCTAAAAATCACAACTTCGTAAAGTTTCAACTTTTGTCTTCAAATCTATGGCCTTTAGGGAGCTAGGATTAAACAAATTTGTTCTTTTTGCAAGTTCTGTCTTCAACCCTTTTGTAGGTGATTTGCTGCCTGTATATCCATATTTTAAGATAATGGTAGCTATTTTTTATATTTTAATTATAAGCTAACAACTTCCTTAATATGACTGAGGAATCAATGAAAAAGTTTCTTAATCATTGGTCTTTGTTTTGTTAGTTACATTTTGGTTCAACAATACTCCCTCATTTCAATTTGTTTGTCCTAATTTTCTTTTAAGTCCGTTTTTAAAAAAATGTGTTTTCCCTTTTTTGGTTACTCCGTAATTCTGACATTCCACGGGAAATGTCTTCTTTACTTTGTTGAATTCCGTATCAAGTCAATACCATACAAACAAATTAAAACAGGGGGAGTACTACTTTTGGCAAAAAGAAAAAAGAAAAGTAGATGTTTCTATGTTCATTTGAGCTAATTAGAACATATATCCAGGCATTCCTTTGGTTCAAATCAGTACAAGTTGCTAACAAGGAGGCAGAGGAACAAGACCGCAGGGATGGATATATGTAACATCTAATATGCAATTTTTAGGTGATATCTGCAGCATCTTTATATGCATGTTCAGATGCTGCATGTTAGTGGTTGTTTCCAAAGAAAATTATCATGGAAAATGGATATTTCTCTCGAGGTTTATTCTTTCTAGAGCAGCATCAGTGTACAAATTGTCTTCTCAATACTTGTTATTCCACTTTATCAATTTTGTATCTATCACTTGTCTAAAAATCTTGGATTACCAGATTTTACCTTTCCATCTCTCATTTGAAAATAACAGTTTATCGATTTGTGGTTAGACAAGCTACTTGGTGATCACTAGGCACAACTTGTGTAAGTTATTAGTTATACACCAGTCTAGTGTTGCTTTTTAACTGTAACTTATCGACCTTGGTAAATCACTAATTCTTTATATTGTCCCTCACTACCAAGACTTTTGGAGCATAGACTTCCATTCACAGCGTATTTACTGATAGGTTGTAATAAATAGTCAAAAGATTATTCACATAGGTCCTGCCTAAGTTACATACATAGCAATCAGCATAACTTATAAGTTCAATCTACTCTCATTTTGATAGTATATCAGCACACATTCCTTCCTCTTATTTATTAAGTGAAAGAAAAAGTTTCACACTCTAATAGCATCTTAACATGTATTATTTGCATTAACATGTCTTTTTTTTCCTAGTGTTTGTACCTCAGAAACCATCAAGTCATTTGTTTCTTGGAATCGATTAATGATATCTACAGAATGGTTTGATACTACATGTTGTAATTCATTTCTTTGAAATAGGATCAATATAGTTCTTGCTCATCTAAATTTTATCTCTACAGTATGCTTATATTATTGCTTTAGTTTACTGTTTCTCACTTTTGTAGTATCTGCCTGAGAGAATTTCTTGAAACACTGATCGCAAGCGAGTAAAAAAAGGGTTCAGTTGTTCCACAACATTCTTTCTCCTTCCTTGTTGTGCAATCACACAGAACTCTGAATTTTGCAGTCTACTTCCTTTGAGCTTTTCAACTCTCTGGGGCGGTGAAGTTCATCCATTTCTCCAAGAGAAGAGAAAAGATAGGGACTTTAGCATAGAAATATATCATGGGCATTTCGAATATAAATGCATAGTGATTGCACTCAAAATATTTGGCTCTTGGAACTGACGGAAGTGAGCAGTATGAGCTGTGATGTCAAATCTTGTAACTGTAGTTTTGTGATAAGAATGAAAAATGATAAATAAACGAGCCGGACTAAATTCTCCATGCTAATCTCTCCTTTCTCTCTGTTTCAAGTGTATTTTTTTCCAGATAAAATGTGCACAGTAATTTCTTACAGTCAGCCTCTTCCTTTTTCCTATAGTCAATGTCTGGATTAGCTGGTTTTAATACTGGATATGATATATGGGGTTAAAAAGTAAATGCCAGAGTAATGAAGGTCTTACTGTTATGGTAGGGGCTAGTAAACGGAAAAGACGAAGATTATAGGAGTTGAGTTCTTTTGTTTGAAGAGAACAGGATGACTCTTAGTGTAACCATTAGTCTATCAGAAATATTTTCTAGTGCACATTTTCCAAGTTGAACAGCTCACCAATGTTTGTGCTAAAGTATGTGCCTCATATGCATAAGTAGGTTCCTCATCAGATCAGAAGCTAGTTTACGTGATGCAGCCATTCAAGCTAAGATAGCTTTTCTACGTGGTGCTAGCTGAGGATGTCACACTGGAGAAAAATCTATGTACATAGCTCTTCTCTACATATTGAGTTGAGATGCTGATTGAATGAAAGGATTTTTATAATTTGGTTTAGATGAACTGCTAGTTAGAATGAGACAAAGTGATGCTCTAGATTTCCTCTATTTGGAGCAACAAACAATAGAAACTTACTTTTCATTTGCAGTTGGTTGTTGTCTGTATAGTTTGATGTTTCCTTCTTGGCATAAGTAAAGCCATTCAGAAGAAACACGTATGGGCTTATGTTTGTTCTTCTCGGTTTTAACGTATCAGCTTGTTTTTTTCCACGGTGCCACCTAAGTAAGATGATTCTTAGATATCAATATTCATTCTTTATGAACTGGGGTTCCTACATATTGCTTCCACGCGTACAAGCGTGCCTATGGCTAAAAGCCACACTCCCATTCATTGAATCATGGATTCTCCCAAGTCAATTGAGGCCTGTGGTAAGAAAGATTCTCATGCAACTGCCCAGGAAGAGAAAACTATAGAGAAACTAGCCCGAGCTCAGTGGCTTCGAGCAGCTATCCTTGGAGCAAATGATGGATTGCTTTCCACCACATCCTTGATGCTCGGTGTGGGTGCAGCTAAAGATCAAGATCAACGGTCTATGGTTCTTTCTGGAATAGCTGGAGCTCTTGCAGGTGCCTGTAGCATGGCTGTTGGAGAGTTTGTCTCTGTTTCAACTCAACGAGACATAGCAAAGTCCATTGCTTACGAGTTAAAAGGAAGCAGTTCAACTAATATTGCAGAAACCAAGCAAGGTGAAGTTCCTCATGACATGGTCTTTCACAGTAAATTAGCCACTTCAACACAAGGCGGAAAACTTCTATATGAATCACCTGTACGTATACAGTCCAATTCTTTGACACCTTCAAGATCTCCACTGACAAAAGTTATGGAATTTGATGCAAGAAGAACCATGATGGAGGAATCAAAACAGGACAATGCCATAAAGTTAGAGCCACTGCCTAGTCCATTGAAGTCTGCAGCAGCGTCGTCTCTGGCTTTTCTCTTTGGAGCCTTTGTTCCTATGATGCCAGCTCTATTGGTGAGTGAAAACAGAATCAGGATATTTTTGATGGTGCTTGTAGCATCATTAGCTCTGTGTTTATTTGGGGGAATTGGAGCTTATCTTGGTGGTTCATCAGTGAAAATATCTGCTATGAGAGTTTTACTTGGAGGGTGGATTTCAATGGCTCTCTCATATGGTTTACTTAAGCCCTTTGCTCATGATGATTAGAGGAGTAGATGTTTAGATCATATTTGGTTGAAGTAGAAAAAAGAAATAGTTTTTCAGGTTTCTACATACACTTCATTAGTGTAAAAGGTTGAAGCGAAATATAACATGAAAAATTGGTTACGGAGAAAATCAGGCTGTTATAATGAAATAGAGTTGTAACGAATGACCATTACAATGAGGTTTCACTATTTTTTTCATTTCTTTTTCTAACAAAATTTGTTTGTGTATTTCTTTGGTTAAAGACACCATCTAATTAAACAATGCAAAGACAAAATTGTAACAAAATAAATACACCTAACAAAGTCTTCCTAGTCTATTTAAATTTAAATATAGGAAAGAAGCAAACTCAAGCACAAATTGCTTTAAAATGATCTTGAACATAAGTGGATCGATCATAAGAGAAGAGAGAATTGAAAACTTCTTTATCAACATAAAAAAATTAAAGTTGAAAACCTAGCGAACTCAACAATATTTTTTACACTTAATTAATGCATTTCTTTGGTAGTCAAAAAAGATTGGTGCCTAATATGACATGGCGATAAAGATGTTAAATGTGGGGGTTGAGCTGAAATACGGATCATAATCCAACCCGTTTAATTTTTATTAAGTTTTAATTATTTTTATTTGTTTGTTTGTATCTTTTTTTAACATATTTTTTTTTTAAAAAAATCATCTTGATTTAGACTATATATTAACCCAACTTTTAATGAATAAAATAAATTAAGTACATAAATAGACGGATCAATAACCCTCCAACCCCTTAAACGGATTAGGTTTGATTTTGTTATCCCTACGTGACATCATAAATTGCCGTGTGCTACTCTCCTTGTCCTTGGGAAACGATGGACTTGTGTGATGCACAACCATTTTAACCAACTAAGAATCTTATTTTAAAAAATTGTTTGTGATAACATTAAAAAAAGGATTTTCAATATTATTATTTTTATAAAGGATTTTCAGTATCTTGGAAGTAAAAGCTCTAAGATTTGGCGTTCTAATGTAATCAATGATTGAATGCACGTGAAATATCCCAAATTACCAATGAGACCTTAGGAATTTGATTCTTTAGAATCTGACCATCATGCGTGTACGGGGGAGTTGCTCTGATGATATATTCTTCACCTCCAATCATAAAATAATAAATTCAAGTCAAGAAAAAAAAGTAGAAAGTATATAAAAAAAAAAAACCTAAAGAGAGGTAAAAAAAAATAGAATTACTATGCATAAATTCTTTGTTAAAAGTCCACCATAATACCTGTGAAGGCTGTGATTAACAAAAAAGAAACAAATATACGGAGGACACACACCTTCAAAATATGTCCAAGAATTACTCATTGTAAAAATATTTTCGACATAGCTTTATATTTTGACATTTCTTTCAAATTTATTATGAAAACCGTTTTTATTTAATTGAGCATCTATCGAAAACATAGTTATTTAATTATGAATAACACGTTAAAACTGATCATAATTCATAACAATATAGTCACAAACAGCCAAACAATGAAAGCAAGATCTTCCTCACTAAGGTGCACGTATACGCAACGTAACGAGCTATAGGGATAGAAACAACCACGTCGTTGAGATTTAACTACTAGTATTTGTTTCTACGTCATTGACATAGATTATACTCTATATTATATTACTACTAGATAATGTTGCCCGTGCTATGCACGGGCCCAATAATATAAATGGTATATTTTGGGGCTAATAACCGAGTTTTTGAAGCGATTGTTTGCGTGGATAAAGGAATAAGTTTTTTTATCACAAACCTGTACTTTCTTTGACGTTATTTAAGGCATAATAAGACTACCCACATGCAACATTTTTGAAATATTTTATGTTGTCAATTATCATGATTTATAGTATTTTTACGCAATTTTTAAATATAAAAAAAA